TAAATTTTACAAAAACAGCACGTAACACTTTGGATTAAACATGAAAGGTGGGAATGGGATTCTCATTTAGCTCTTGACCCTGCTGCTCTTGAACCTGCTGCTCAAATAAAATATATCTTAGATTGTCTTATTTAATATTAAACTTACTCCAAGAGCCTTTGTTTTATTTACAACTTTGAAAATCCTTGTTTTGTTTTTTAGTGTACATAAGTCTCTTAATCTTGTGTATAAATTTAAGTAGAACATAATAGTGTTCAAAATGCATGCTGTTTCTCTTAACCAGTTCTCCCTTATGGTCTCGTCACACCATTTTCTGTACTGTCCAGCAGATGGAGCAGGAGTATTTCCAGACACTAGAATCCTCACCAGATCTCTGTTGTGGGCTTCCAGGACTTCTAAGATACAAAAGAGAGTCCCAGAAGAAGATGTACAATCCTCGGGTGCATTCATTTGATCACTGCCATGGTAAAAGCATAACACTTGATAAAATTGTTGATGTTTTTAAATAAATAACTTGTTTTACTCAGCCCCAACTGCAACGGGACTCTCCCATATGCTGTCAGTTTTGTGGTTCAAGAGCTTGGCCTCCTCTGGATCCAGTTAATGCGGAAGCACGAGAGATTTGTCTCTTGAGAACGGATGTAGCCGACACAAACTCTTACTGCTTCAACACTTTTCTTGAGTTTATGTCTAAGTGGACTTCAGGACTTCTGCTGTGAGAGCTACAGAGAGTTGTTTGAGATTTTAGTCCATGATTGGCTATGAGATGCTCTGAGGCAAGGCCTAGTGGACCTGCTCGACTAGAACTATAACTATAACTTGACGAACTACAAGATAAAGTGCAAGAAAGTAGAAAACACAAGTTTATGTTGTACAACACACTACTGTTCAAAAGTCTGGGGTTCGTTTATATATATATATAGTGACAGTACATACATTTATAATGTTAAAAAGATTTATATTGTAAATAAATTCTGTTCTTTTTAATTCTGAATTCTGTCCCCCCCCCCCAAAAAAAAAACATGTCTCATGGTTTCCAAAACATATTAAGCATCAAAACTGTTTTTAACATGCTATAAATTCAGCTTATTAAATTTAAAACATATTAAATATTTTTAAACTGTAATGATATTTTACTTATTCTTATTCACATATTGATATTTTATGATCAAAAATATGCAGCCTTGGCGAACATATCAGTCCTCTTTCAAAAACATAAAAAAAAATCGTATCCCAAACTTTTGAACGCTAGTGCACGTGGCATTTATGCTATGCTGTAACTTAAACATATTGTTATGAAAACTGTGAAATATGCTTTGACAGAATTAAATGAATTTGTTTACTTGTCATTCCCACCTTTGGCTTAGTTTCAGACAGATCAGAGACAGATGCAGAGATATGGCAGAGATGCTCACTTCAGTTTTTTGGCATCAAAGAACAGTGAGTATCCACATGATGTGCTGGACAGGATGTTTATAGATGGACCATTAACAACAATGATAATTCACACCCCAAAAAAAGAAAATTCTGTCATTATTTACACAATGACCTGGGAATAGGAAGGTCATAGAAAAGTTTGCCTATGAATTAATAGGGAAGAGTCCATTTCTATGAGCATTATGTGTCTTTTCTATGAGGAAATGAGTGAGAGTTGATTTGCCCGCATTCCTTTGAGCAATAAAACCAGTGTTATCAGATTACCTGCCATGGTAACCAGAGGCCTGTTCTGCCTTTGAGGGGTGTTAGGACAGTATTAATTGCACTGACCCTAATTATGCATCCCATTATCATGTGTGAGTAATATTACATTATAAAAATCTTTATTCTATAACAAACCTGAAAAGTCTATTTCCAGAGTTTATGCTAGTCACTATAGTAAGACAGGAATAAAGAGGACGTCATGTTTCACAAGCCAGCCTTTAAAGTCAAACCATTTCAACTGCTTAGACATTTTTATTTATTTTATTTAGTCATTTAGCAGACACTTTTATCCAAAGCGACTTACAAATGAGGACAATAAAAGCAGTCAAAACTAACAAAAGAGCAACAATATATAAGTGCAAATGACAAGTCTCGGTTAGCCTAACACAGTACACGTAGCAAGGTGTATATGTATATATATATATTGAGGATGTAAACCGGGTCTTCAGGAAGCAGAAATCTAGAAAAGCTTATATCGCAGCAACGGCTCAAAGCAGCCAATGAAGCGTCTAGGTATTTATTATGTCTATAGTGGCAAGGGGGTCCTTTAGAGTGACAGCTGCCCCTGATATTCCCTGATTGTAAGTAGACCAAGGAGATGCATCGAGGCAAGATGAATGTAGAGCTGCTGGTCTCATGGTGTCTGAACACAAAGGGCTTTATGACAAACGCAATAGCGACTACAAAAATCTCGATAAGAGGGAGTTGTTATGGAGAGGAATTGCAGATCAAATATAGGATTCGATGTGTACCGGGGTATTTCTGTTCTTCATTAAGCGTCATCTAATGTCAGGGAGTGAATTTGCACGTTCACTCGGCTCATCGCCTGCGAAAATCGCTTGGGTATGAACACAAAAGACGCTCGAAAAACGTCGGCGATAAGCGCGCGATAATCGTCCCGGTATGTACGAGGCATATGGTGCGTTCAAGTCATGTCGGATAGATCGTATTTACGAGTTGAACGCACATGAACACCACCACAAAGTCGTTATTACGAGTGGGAAACTCGAAATTTTCTTTAAGCCCCGAGTTTCCGAGTTGGGGGCGTGTCAACGAGAAACATGGCGGAATCGATGGATGTAACATCTGTAGTTGACGGTAAATTTTTGTTTAAATTGATAGTTTAGTGGGTTGTCAGTGACAAGTACTGAAGAACTGCATGTCTGACAGAGGGAGACTGAGAGATTGCCAAAGAAAAACATAAAATGCAGACCCTGTTGTATTTTCTTGTAATTTATTAAAAGAAGGTACACCGCCATCTTGTGCCGACTAAACTGACTTGAACGCACCTGACGTCGTAATTACGACTTGTCAACTCATAAGTACGAACGTCCCAGGAGGACTTGAACGCAGCATTAAGCCGCCTTTCCACTGCACACGACATTCGGACACGATTGTCGGAATTCGCCCCCTAGTGGCAGTCGCACGAAAATGAAAAAGAATGAAAAGAGCAGTTTCATGTCTATCCTTGTATTGTTCAACTGGTGGAGGTTGATGTGGGATTTAAGAAGTAATTAGTAATGCAATACATTTTAGTGAGAGTAATTAATACAGTAATCTAATTACACTGTTTTTTAGAGTAACTTACCCAACACTGAAATGACATATCAAAGAATAGTATGTCTAAGTTAACATGATTTACAAAGTTATGTAATTGTTTTTAAACTTAACAGTGGATGAGTGCAGGAAAAAGTGGAGGGATCTCCGTGACGTTTATGTCAGGGAAAGGAGAGAGGAGAAGAAAAGAAAAAGTGGAGCAGCTGCCACCCAAAAACGCCCTTGGCGTTACTATCACATCATGTCTTTCCTCCTTCCATTTGTTTCTTCTCGGCCCACATCTGGGAACATGGAGGAGGAAAGAGGAGAAGGGAGAAGAAATGAGGAAGACAGTGCAGAAGTAATAACAGAGGAAAGACAAGAAATGCAGGTAGGAAAGGACATGACAGAAGTAAGAAACAGCGTAGAGATCAGTGCAGAAGAAAGTAGGATGGACTGTGTGGTAGAGGACATGACTGGAGAGGAGGAGAGCAGAAAGAGGCAGAGCGCAAAATACTTTGCCCAGCCACAACGCCGGAGAAGAATTGAAGCAGCATCCGTGTCTTCTTTTTGCTAGTTCTCACTCTCTAAAAAATGCTGGGTTAAATACAACCCAGTGCTGGGTAAAATAGAGACAAACCCAGCAATTGGGTTGTTTTGACCCAGCGGTTGGGTTAAATGTTTAACCCAAC